CAGCAACTATAAGTGATATGAAACAAGTGCACCCATTGGACAATCAGACATCAACTATAAGTGATATGACACCAGTGCATCCATTGGACAATCAGACATCAACTACAAGCGATATGTAACCAGTGCATCCATTGGACAATCAGACATCAACTACAAGTGATATGAAACCAGTGCACCCATTGGACAATCAGACATCAACTATAACTGATATGAAACCACTGCACCCATTGGACAATCAGACATCAACTATATGTGATATGAAACAAGTGCACCCATTGAACAATCGTACATCAACTAGAAGTGATATGAAACCAGTGTTCCCATTGTACAATCGGACATCAACTATAAGTGATATGAAACCAGTGTTCCCATTGTACAATCGGACATCAACTACAAGTGATATGAAACCAGTGCACCCATTGAACAATCATACATCAACTATAAGTGATATGAAACCAGTGTTCCCATTGAACAATCGGACATCAACTATAAGTGATATGAAACCAGTGTACCCATTAGACAATCAGACATCAACTACAAGTGATATGAAACCAGTGCTAGCCATTGGACAATCAGACATCAACTACAAGTGATATGAAACCAGTGCACCCATTGAACAATCGGACATCAACTACAAGTGATATGAAACCAGTGCACCCATTGAACAATCAGATATCAACTATAAGTGATATGAAACCAGTGCACCCATTGGACAATCAGACATCAACTACAAGTGATATGAAACCAGTGTTCCCATTGAACAATCAGACAGCAACTATAAGTGATATGAAACAAGTGCACCCATTGGACAATCAGACATCAACTATAAGTGATATGAAACCAGTGCATCCATTGGACAATCAGACATCAACTACAAGCGATATGTAACCAGTGCATCCATTGGACAATCAGACATCAACTACAAGTGATATGAAACCAGTGCACCCATTGGACAATCAGACATCAACTATAACTGATATGAAACCACTGCACCCATTGGACAATCAGACATCAACTATATGTGATATGAAACAAGTGCACCAATTGGACAATGAGACATCAACTATGAGTGATATGAAACCAGTGCATCCATTGAACAATCAGACATCAACTATAAGTGATATGAAACAAGTGTTCCCATTGGACAATCAGACATAGACTATAAGTGATATGAAACCAGTGCCCCCATTGGACAATTGACATCAACTATAAGTGATATGAAACAAGTGTTCCCATTGGACAATCAGACATAGACTATAAGTGATATGAAACCAGTGCACCCATTGGACAATCAGACATCAACTACAAGTGATATGAAACGAGTGTTCCCATTGAACAATCGGACATCAACTATAAGTGATATGAAACCAGTGCACCCATTGGACAATCAGACATCAACTATAAGTGATATGAAACAAGTGCACCCATTGGACAATCAGACATCAACTATAAGTGATATGAAACCAGTGCATCCATTGAACAATCAGACATCAACTATAAGTGATATGAAACCAGTGTTCCCATTGAACAATCAGACATCAACTACAAGTGATATGAAACCAGTGCACCCATTGGACAATCAGACATCAACTTCAAGTGATATGAAACCAGTGCACCCATTGGACAATCAGACATCAACTACAAGTGATATGAATCCAGTGCACCCATTGGACAATCAGACATCAGCTACATCAACCCCTCTGCCAAGGTGAAGAATCTTGGTGTGTAACAGCCGCAACTTTCATAGGAGCCCATATTGATAACATTTCTAGGTCTTGCTATTATCACCTGAGATGTGCGGGACAGATGTGTTATCTTCTCACTGTGCAGTCGCTGGTGCTCTCAAGACTGAATTGTGGGAATAATGTGGGTTGGGCAGTATGAAGATCTCACCGGCAAAGACTTCAGTGGATACACAATACAGCAGCTAGGAGTGTTTCAAGGACATAAAATATTCCTACATTACACTAGTCTTGATGACACTTCACTGGCTGCAAGTTTTGCCCAGAATAAAGTAATCTGACCCACATTTAAGTGTCAGCATGACCTAGTACAACCTTATTTGGTCAACTTACTGGGAAAATAGAAGCCCAAGGGGTCACTGCACTTAGAAAATCACACCAGTTCCACATTACAGAACTTCCAAATTATGGAAAGAAATCTTCAAGTGTTGCCGCCCCAGAACACGGGAACTACCTCTGAGCATAAAACTATTTCCAACTTTGGACGTGTTCAAATCTGAGCTTAAACCTCATCTGTTTCGCGTGTATTATATGTGCAGACTGTTGCACTTTGAGTATGCACAGCGTGATTGGAGTCTAGCGCTTTGTAAATATGCATACACGTTTGTTTGTTTGTTGTTGTTTAACACCGTACTCAGCAATATTCCAGCTATATGACGGCAGTCTGTAAATAATCGTGTCTGGACCAGACAATCCAGTGATTGACATTATGAGCATCGATCCAAACAAATGTAATACGATGACATGCATCAACCAAGTCAGCAAGCCTGACCACCCGATCCCGTTAGTCGCATCTTACGACAAGCATAGTCGCATTTTACTGAAAATACAAATGTATATCCATTTGCGTGTATATAGCTCAAGACAGCGCTGATAACTGTATTTGAGCGGACGTCACGCGCATATTTTGCCATGTTATACATTGTGGTTCTTCTAAGCAGGCAATTTTTAGATCCGAAGGCTATTTAGGGAAACCAAATAAAGGTATACAAGACGTCCGGCCTTTCTATAAACATACTTCGAGTAACACCCAATTTGCCGAGCCGCCTAAATAAATAAATCTCTCATGTGTGTTATTATTTTTTGAAAATAAATAACTTTAACCGTTACGTATAATAATCTGAGCACAGTGTCACACCTAGATTTAGTTTGGGGTTAGCCATCTTTCAGGCGATCCAGACGTTATCCTGTCGGATATTAATCCCATACATCAGTGGAATCACAGATCAGCGGTATGGGCAGCCAAAGGAGCACATTTTCTCTCAAACATTACCCGTGACAGAGATTGTGACGTCAATATATGTCTTCGGAACAACCCAATTAAACACCTTTGGGATAACCTATGCCGCCAAGTGAGAGCTAAAGACCCCCAGTTCATAGCCTGCACAAATTTACCAAGTCACTGCAGAGGGGATGGCAGAGGATGTTGAAGACCAGACGACTCGCGAATGTCATCCGAGAGAATGGTGGATACTCAAGACTGCGGCGTTAAACAACAAACATCCCAAACATTCCAGATGAAACCTGGACTCACCTGTGAACAGTAGACTGACCCGGTCTGTCTTCTGAACCTCAGATGCCCTACACCAAGCTAGGCGTGCCTTACGGTCGCTGGACGTCGAGGCCGGAAGTTGTGCTCCCTCAACCGGTTGCATACGGTTCTGACACTAATTGGTCTCGAACCAGCAATTGTCCGAACTGTAAATGTGGTGGTTTGGTATCGATTCCATAGATGCACCAACCGAACATGGTTGTTTTGTTGATGTGACGTCAAACGTGGAAGACCGGCCGTGGCAAGTGATGAGTGTTGCCCTGGTGTAGATAATGCATAAGTGATAATATTGTGTTTCGATGAAGATTAAAATGTCTGGCAACTTTGTTTTGAACCATAGTTGTTTGCAGCAAAACAACAGCATTGACGTTCACAATAAGTTGTGTTTCTGAAACTTTCAGCAAGCCGTGGCATTGCATAAGGGTTATTTACAGTTAAACAAAAGTGTTTTTATGCGCATCTGATAGCTAAACAGTCGGGTGCTGTTCACATTCAAAAGTCGTGTGTGGGTATCATGTTCAAAAAAAAAACAGAAACATCCAAATTATGCACGTTGCATTAACATGCACATACAAATTGTGAATCACCACCTTTAACTTGAGATGCCTTCATGAATATGTATTGAAAGTTGCATTATTTAATTTCTGAAAAAGTCGATTTGTATTGAAAGTTATATCAAGCACATTAGTATATGTCGCATTCATGAACCTCACAAAAGCCTTTAACCTTGCGAGCAGAGATAGCAAGGATTGGCTGCCCACCTTAGCTCCTCAGCACGACCCAGTCATTCAACAATGACATGAAACTATTGAAAGTCGCTGCATTTTGACGGCTCTGAGGCTTTGGACATCGGCAGTGGAAAAAAAACAGGACTTGTCCCCACTCTGCTTGGAATATTCTTCGCAGTCATGCTGAATAACACTGATTCTACCTCCACACAAAGGTGAGAAGCTTTTCAATCTGGCATGTCTGAAAGCTAAGTCCAAAGTGCCCAAAGCCCTCATCAGAAATGCGGCTCTGGCAACCCACTTAGAAAAACAGCTGCAAAACCTCGTGGACCACTTCTCAAGTGCATGCCAGGACTTATGCTTCACCATCAGAGACTTAGATCAACAACGAGCTGGAGTTGGGTTTAACTCTGCTTTGAACTGTATTTCAGTGACATCAAAATGTGTCAGCTGGATGTGGGAGGGAAGCCCCAGGTGATGACAAAAGAATGTAACTGCACTGTTTCATACTTTGATCTATATTTAGTGTATGATGGTTTGTTTTGATGCTGCATTCAGCAATATTTCAGCAATATGACTGTGGCCTGTAAAAAATCAACTCTGGTCCAGACAATCTAGTGATCACCTTTTGTGAACAACAGTCCATGCAGTTGGCCTACAATGACTCACTATCAACCAGTTCATGGACAATGGCTGAATGTATGAAAACATTCCATGCCATGGCACAATGAGTCTGCCATGTCATGACAGTCTTAGAGTGCAAGGCAGGGCAACTATAAATAACATCTTTTAACATCATTTAGTATGACACGGTCAGGGATGGAACCACTGACATCCCACACTCCTAACAAAAGTTTACGACAATGGACAACAGACCATGACATGAGCTCACTTGATTGACAAACAATAACCAAGGTACAATAAAATGCCTGTTTGAAATGGTTTCTTCTCTCTTAACAAACAGATAACACAAAATCATTCTATTAAACATATTTTTATTGTGGACACTATTTTACAAATAAACAGGAACAATTTGTTGGCAAGTGTTGACCCTGACTTGCCAGTAACAAGTCATGAGCTAAGAATCCATGTATAAATCAACAAGACAAGTCACTCACGCATAAAATGCTCATGATCAGCAAATATGACATCATATTCCTGCAACATCTGTTAAAAAGCTATCACTCCACTTACAAATTCCTATAACCTATAAGTAACCTTAGTACAAATTATTACACATTCAATATAGGCACCAAATGATCAAACTAATCTTTAGGATATCACTGCTTAAAGGTTGTTTTCAAAGTGTCACCAGTTATTGGAAAACAAACTAACTTTAAAGTAGATGGGAACAAGTCAGTAAAGTAAATATAACAACTACACATAAAACATCACATTGCTGGTGTTTTGAGATGCAGTTCTACTGGTAAATAGTGGATCTCAATGGAGTGATCAATCTGTCAAAGTCACTGACAAAAGGTAAAAGTAGTTTGCAGGAATGCTACAACCATCAGCAAATTCACTGTTGACTAGAGTTCAACACATGAGATGGTGTTCACAAATGTTTGTTGTAGTATGCCTTTGCATATAGACAGAGCGTAAACTATCCATCAGAGAAGATTTATTTCTGGACATTAACTATGATTGTTAAATCACAGATGGCAAGTAGCAAGTGACAAAAGTCAAGAGCTGAAAATAAAAGAAAACCTGACTTTACCCTCGAGAAAAAGAGCATAAATAGTCCCACCATAATAAGGTGATTCACACTGACCAGACACATCACTACTAGAGACCCAAACAGGGTTTGGATCACTGATCTGTCCAAAGTGAAAGAAAGATAGCAACAGAAGGGTTAGTCTTTCACCTGGATATTCGAGTACAAGCATTATTACTTAAAATGATCATTATGAATGAAATTTCAAAATCTTTAATGTCTTTGGGTGGAAAAGTGAAATAGCAAGCCATGCATTGCATTATTGCTGTAGCATGTTTTTTTCACACAAAATCTGAGCAATTAAGGATCCGACCTCAAGAATAAGTTCTTTTATTTTGATTGTGAAATAGACATTACCATCAACCAGACATTGTGATAATGAATAACCATACTGTAACACCTATTACATATTTTACTCACTAACCATACATTGGTGGAGTTGTTCATGCACAATTTCAACTTTGGTCCAGGTGGGCTTAGAATGAAACTGATAATGTGGCTTTCAAGTTCATGAATAACTTTTATATGGTAACCACGGTTTCCTGGTGAACAGTGGTAATGACTGAGGCATGCTGCTCTGGACATGACAAGAGACATTTTTAGAATTGGCCAAAACTATTTCCAAAGAATGATATGCTGTCAACATTTTTACGTAAATCATAAAAATATTGTAATAAAATTCTTATTATTCTTTGCTTTCTTGTAAAACTAGTCCGATAAAGGTAAAACTCTTGTACTTTAACATATAATAGATCACCTTGAGACAAAGGATGGTATTCTGTTGACAATCTGACACCATGATAAAGGATATTCTCAAAGGTATCTTGTTTCGTTTTAGTTCACAAACACTATGATGTCACTGTTCACAATATTTATAAATTACTAAATAATCAGATGAATATTACAGAGAAGAATGCCCTTGTTTTCACAAAGCCCATGATTAAGAAGTATTTTGCAGAGACTGTTGTCACTTCTCTAAAGACTGCAGAGCCGGAAACTCAACTGGAAACAGCCCTACAATGATTATTCAACACTAAAAAAGAGAAAGAGGTTATTTCTCCAAAAATAATCATTCCTGTTGAAAGTTTGATCAGGAGTCAAGATATATTCCCCTCCATTAACATCGGTTGACCAAAGCGATGTTGTCACATACTTCTATCTTATTGCTGAGCATGTTATCAATATTATCATAATATTCAATTGACAGTTGCAGGCATTAAACATGACACAGTAAGATTACATGCTGGGTACATCTCACTGTCACATCAGTAAACAATGTGTATGCTATACTGTTCACGTTCATGCAACACGGCTGCAGACAATGACAATAAATATCACAGCGTTTGACTTGATATGATTTCAGCTCACAGTTCACATATTATCAACTTAGTGAAAACACAAGTGCAAATCAGTATGTAATAAATTCCTTCAAAAGGGGGTGGTCTCATACAACCAAAGGATTTGATTACGATGACCTGTGGTTAATAAATAGGACTAACACAATACCTGCAACACACAGATCCAATCTTCCCAGCTGAACACTGACCTAGCCTGCAGGTGTATCCCAAGTTTTTAAGGGCTCTTACACAAAAAAGAAGGTTCACCTGACAACATGCATAGCCAGTACTGACCATATTCACCTTCGTGCTGTCTACCTGCTTCTGATTTGAACTTTTAGTGACAGGTTATTGTACATAGAACAATGTCATATTCATCCTAACACACATCAAACAGTGCAATTGAAAAATTACTAATCCTGGTACCAACAAATATTGTACATATATTCTTATTTACATTTCCTATCTCCTAGTATTACAATACTACTGAAAATATATACCCTAAATATGTCCAGATAAGAACATAAGAGATATGCTACAACAGTATCGCTGAAAAAAAGTGAATTTTTTTTTTCATTTGGAAAGTAAATGTTTGGTGTTTCAAAAGATGTCTTAGTGCCTATAACAACTAAATCTCCACCCCCCTCCCTAAAAAAATCTCAAGACACTTGACAGTAACTCCTGTTGTTCTGTACTTGGGACTGTAGTGTGGGAGGTAGTTTTCACAGCTGAAACAAGACTCTGTAGGGATTTCTATAACCATTTAATTCCATCATAAATGACAGACCAGTAATGCTGAGGTCAAAACAAACATGTATGGGGTTAATTTAGAAAATGTCCATGAGGACACCATCAGTATATCGAACACAGACACAGAGCAACATGGAAGTCTAAAACAAGAGACACTAATATCATTTTCTATTTGCATATAGACTGCTTTCTGGAGTATTTGCACATTTCACTGTAGCAGAATACTGATGTCAGGAAATGAAAACAATTTTTGTGGAGTTACTACTGCTCCAATCACTGATCAACATTTATAAATAAATGACAATGTATACATACAAATGACCCTTCAGCTCAAGAGCATCAGATAACAGAAAAAAACAATGTGTTGCTGAACATAAATTCTGGAATGTGAGGCAGTACAGCACAAATCTTTGTACAGAACCAAAATATACCAGGCTTTCCTATGAACATATGGGTTGACAGATCCATGTCCTGGAGTGGACTGTTTGCTGGTATACAAGACATTATCATGCTCAGTTTAGCAGTCAAAATATTTTTTATAACTAATACATTGTACAAATGTTACTGATATTTATTTGGTATCAATATATTATATTGTTATACTCAAGTGTTTCTCACACAAGTGGGTATACTGAACTGTGGACCCTTCCGCTGATAAAGCATTACCCTGATCTTCCCAACTGAATTTTATCTTCTTGTCACCAAACACATACACTTACGTTAACAGCTAAGTTGGACATAACATTTCAGTCTAGGATCTCATTTGAACACTGTTGCAACTCATTCCTCTGATTGATAATCCTTTCGATTTATAACATATTTATGTGACACTGTCATATTCAGGAGACATTTAGACAGGAAACCTTTTACATAGACTGCAGCTTGTGCAACCTCCCATTAATTCAACTTGTTGTAATACATGCACACACACACATCTATACGTTAATGTTGACTATAGCCTTGTCTTCACTCCACTTTCAGCAGCTTACTGTAGTTTTCCTGTTGTTTTTCCCTCCACGATGCTTTGGCCCTCATCCTCTTTAACTGACCATCCCTGTGGGATACAAGATATACATATTTAGATACAAAAACACACTTGGTGAGTGAGGTGGCTCTATCAGTAGATGTGTACAACTTTGCTGAAACCCACAAACACAGGTGTGGTGCCGACAGACAAGGATCATAAGTCCCTATCAAGCCACTTGAAGTCTAAGGCAGTATGTTTTGTTTAATGGATGCAATGGATGGACTCTCTCTTCGGCTTAAAAGGGATAATACCTGAATTTTGTGCTTTTGCCACAAAGCGGCTGTCAGATTTATTCAGGAAATAGATACTACCGTCAGTTGATTCTGAACACCACCAACCACCATCCGTGAAGATCTGGGTTAGCATTAGTCTTCAGCAAGTTGCAATCCATGCTAATCGTAAAAAGATGACTATGCATGTCGTTAGAGGTGACCTACAGAATTGGGTGGTCAGATTTGCTGACTTGGTTGATGCATGTCATCATATCCCTATTTCGTGTACCAATGCTCATGATATCAATCACTGGATTGTCTGGTCCAGACTCAATTTTTTTCAGGCCACCATCATAAGCTGGAACATGGCTGAGTGCGGCATTAAACAACAAACATAACAACCCATGTAAACACCACTTGTTTCCATGGTATGACAAAATTCAAATTTCAAAATGACATAATGAGGCACAATCACCATGTGATATGTTTGAAATGTTTTAATCAGAAATATTCATGTGCTTTGCATTAAGGCTAGAAATATCAAAAACAATCCAGAGGCAAGGGTATGTTACTGACATACCAAATGAATTTAATCATGACAAAATGGATTCAAGCCCCGACTGCACAGTATAGTAAGGGACACAACTGCATAAGAACAGTGTCATAGGTCACAAGGTTACCCATGCCCCTGCAAAGTTTCATATAGAAATACTGAACACATTTTTAATTGTTTTGTTTGGGGTTTTTTTTCGGGGGGGTAACATAATTGTATGTCAATCACCTTATTCGCCTAGACACTTAGCCACTAGTCTCAAAAGGGCTGGCGAGTCTTATTACATATTAATGAACATAAACCACTGGTCCGAAATGAGCTGCAGACATTTTTACCTTAGTGTGTACCCTGTGAAGTATTGTTTGTCCTGATGACCCGACGTAATGGACAGTGAAAACCTTAATATTTGGAAATTCACCATGCTCTCAGTGCTGTGTGTCTGTAGTGTACGGGTACTTACCATTCTAAATCTACTAATCCTCCTTTGCTAGCTATTTCTGATTTAACCCTGTTTGCAAAATCAACTGCAAGCTCATTTTCCTGAAATCAGAAATGTTAAACATTATTCTTTACCAACTGGATTCATGTACTAGAAACCAGTTAGCATGTAAGTCATCAGTACGAAAACATGTTATTATACATCTCAGTCAGCCTGAAGCCTGGGTCCAGTATACGTTTCTCTTTGTCTTGTTATCTCAGCAAGTAACATGAATAACAGCTGTCACAGTAACAAGAACAGCTACTGAACATGATGTCAAAAGACATTCTTAAAATGTTTAAAAACATTCTAGTTGGGTGTCACAGAAGAAGTTGTTTCTCTGGATTAGTTGTTTATCCTTCCCCAGTTAAGCCAGCTTACTTTTCTAGACATGGGTGGTAGATACCAGACATCACACACCAGTGCCCAGCTGGTCATGATACTAATCAGGTGGGCCACCATCCCTTGCTTGCTGCTGTTCCAGAAAGCATCCCCGAACCTGGCATCATACTGAGAAAACAAACACAGTACACATACACAACAAGCACAGCTAACAGAACATTTGGAAATACTGTATCTATCCCTAAACATTAAACTGACACCCCACTCGATATGGTTTTATGGCGCTTTTAGCAATATTCGAAAATATCACGGCGGGGGACACCAGAAATGGGCTTCACACATTGTACCCATGTCGGGAATCGAACCCGGGTCTTCGGCGTGACGAGCGAATGCGTTAACCACTAGGCTACCCGACCGCCCCCATAGTAAGATCAAGATGATCAGTTATAAATAGTAAAACATTTTCCTTTACAAATAACATGTTTCTCTCATCTTGTGAACAAAGTTGACATGTTCACTCAAAGCTTGGGAAAATATTAACTTTGTCACACGATAAGATAAACATGTCATTTGTCATTAATCAAAGTAATAAAAAAATATGAAGTATTGCTGACAATCTCAAAGGCCGCCATTTTCCTCCCTGTCGCTACTCAAACCAAAGGGAAGTAACTCTGATCTGAAGTTTTGAGGCAGGTTTGAAATTTGCATAATATTTGTATTAACTACTTGCAACTATTGAAACTATCAATTGTTATGCAGACTATCGATAATACTATTGCAGTGTTAGGAATTGGTGCTAGCCCTATAGTCCTTGCCAAACTGCCCACCAGTTAAGGTATCATAAGAAATAGTAGAAATTTGCCATGTTTTAGGGTTTGCTATATGTATCCTCATAAGGACTAGTAGACTAAAAATGTTAGTTTCTACTGCTGCTATTGCCATTTTTAAATTGCTATTGATATAGTTCTATTGTAGGACAAACAACTGCAATAGTTCCATATATGTCATTCTACTCCTGGTTATGTGTCCATAAGACAAACATACAATACCATTGTAGTGAAATCCCTTACTTTTATAGCTACTGGGTAAATTGTTGTTCCAACTTCAAAGCTTCCCTTTTTAAACATCATAACAGAAGTGTTGTTAATGCAAGTACCTGGAGAAAAAACAAATCTGTGTCAACAACAGTCATGAAAACAGTTAATTATTACTAAGAGAGAACCAGGAAGAGGAAGAGATTGGTGAAAAAATTAAAAAATACATAAATCATTTTTGGAGCATATTTTGTTTTTTTACATTTAAAAAATGAAGTAAGTATGTTCCTGTGCGATGTATCAATAAGATAAGTTGTGATTTGATTGGGTGACCCAGTGATATCTTGGGGTGTTCCAACCACAGGGAGGTATGATTCACCAACACTTGTACATACACTTAGATGTCAGATCCTCAGAAAACTTTACAGCTCGTAACAACCATTCACAGCACAATAATAATGAACTTTTATTCATCTGTTTACCAGTGTATAAGGGAAGCATTAGCCATGATATCTCACATTACTATACATACAGGAAGAGAGAGTAAATGAGTGATTGAGTGATTATGTTTTTACGCTGCTTTTAGCAATATTCCAGCCAATTTACAGATGGTGATGACAAGAATGGGCTTCATGCATCTGTACAAACATGATACAGTAAAGATTAACAAAGTGAAATATACAAGTACCTTCTGGAAATATTAAGATAGGGAGTTTATCTTTATCCTGTACGTGTTCTCGTAACCTGAAAACAAAACCATACAAACATATACACAAAGGTTAAAAGACAAATAACTTAGCCAAACAATGTTTTCAACTATCTGGCTGAAAGTGCAACCTGTACTACAACTCACCTATTAACAACTAAATTTCTGTCTTTAGCCTCAGACCTCTCAAACCAGATATGTGCAGTGGCTCTGGCCATTGCTCGCTGTAGGATCCCCAGCAAGCCTCCTTGTGACTGGCCAATCTAAAAAGGCAAAACAGGATGCTTCAATAACCCAATGGATTGAATGAGTGAGTGAGTGAGTATGGTTTTACGCTGCTTTTAGCAATATTCCAGCAATATCACGGCGGGGGACACCAGAAATGAGCTTCACACATTGTACCCATGTCGGGAATCGAACCCGGGTCTTCGGCGTGACGAGCGAACGCTTTAACCACTAGGCTACCCGACCGCCCCCCAATGGATTGAAAGGCTAAATCGCATTTTATATAAGCCTGTGCTGACTGGTATGAACATAATGAAGGACTGTAATCATGCTTGATCTCACCAAGATGTGACACTCAATTATAATTTGGCCTAATTTGGCATTCAAATGATAATCACTGACTTGGTACAAAAAAAAGGAAGTTTCCTTGTGAAAAATAACATACCGTATTCAACATAATAAGCACCCAGGGCACTCTCAAAATTAGAAATAGGGGGCTCTTATTAGAATATTATTTTGGTGAAAAACAACAGAGTTGAAAGATCGTAAATTTCGTGGTTTATGCTGACAGCCTGAAATGTTTATATACGACCGATATATTTTTCTAAAATTTAATTTCCCATAATTAAGGATGCATATAACACTCGTATTATACACAAATAAATAAGTCTTGTGTACATTGATCAATCGGAAGGGGTGCTAATTGGGATTGTTCACTGGCTTATATATTAGCAAATATTGCCATAGGCGCTTATTAGAGAGGGGTGCTTTTTACATGGAATACGTTATTTGTTTGCAAATGGTGGTAGTTATCAGAAACATTTGCAGATGGAACGTTTTCACATTGTATGTGGAAACTATAGACCCCCTTATTCATGTTAAAATCAAGTCTCACAAATTTGGATAAGAGGTTTCACAAAGAAACCTTGATGTCCAAACATTTTCATTGACTAATCAAAACAAGTAGTGGTTTTTTTGACACACACATTGAGCTTGATGTTAATTTGGAAAATTTAGATGCAAGGTTGGTTGGTTGGTTGGTTGTTTAACGGCAAGCATGGGTTGCTGAAGACCTATTCTACCCCGGATATTCACGGGTCTTAGATGCAAGGACTTTTCATATTTGATGACATTACTGGACTTGAACCCCTACATTATGAAAACATCAATAGAAGATATAGCTTAAGAGAAAAGAGCTACAGAGTAAACGTTTCTGAAGTGCAGTGAGTTTAATACATTGTTTAACAATCTGTGTCGGTGAGCCAGTCCTGCACTGTGGACACAAAACACAGCTGGTCATAGTAACTAATGGGACAATTTATTGAAATAGTGCAGTCAGTTGTCTCGAATGGGTTCAGAGGATATATTAATTGACATATTAATTTCAAACACAAACATAGATGAATAACTTAATTGGCCATCTGGTGTGATAAAACAAGCAATACATATGTGCACATGCCAGACCTTCAACTGAAAACAACCTATATCATGGGTGCCTGGTCAGAACAGTGCTGGCTGAAATGTCACATACCATAGCATAGCAATTATCCACCGACATAATGATGACATCGATGGGGGAAGTGTGATTAGCAACACAGATACCATTCCTGGAGCGATTGTTTCTGATGAGGAAAATATGGCATATATCAAAATGATCATGTGAACATTAGGTTACATTATATAGGGGTGTACAATATAACTGGTATACTGGTTTATTGCAATAGTGTGTCAGAAATAATATCTCCTATCTTGAGGCATTTGGATTGACTTGGTTCAAATCTAAACCCTGAAAACAGCACATGCTTCACACTGTTTACATTAACATTCAATATTATTGATGACATAATAGGCACTCTCGTTTATCCATACTACCCATCTTGCAATCTAAAGCCTGGATTACTGAATGAAGAAGAACCATTTGAATAGTACAAACAGCTCTCCATATTGCAATATATTGCAATACAATTTATGTGACAATACGCCAACCCTACACTACACTTTAGTGTCAGTTTATTAGCAGTCTGACCAAGCTGGCAAATAAAATACAGAGAAAAAAACCTCAAATCATTTATCCAGATAAACAAACTCAACATGACATTAGAAAATCAATTTCTTGATAATAAAATTAGCTATTGACATGAATAATGACATTTGTTACCACTCTCAGGGGATAAAATGTAGTTAATACAGATGATATGTCCCTGTATCTGTTAAACGTTGTTGGGAGTTGACTGTATGGGTAGAATATTTATAGAAAAAAATAATGGATAAGAATTATAGGTTGGGTTTACTTTCTAACCTGAACAAAATGTTAAATGTTAACTAATTTAAGTATACTATGACAGGAAGCATCTGTTACTTACTCATCGTGAAATGTAATGATGGCTGAACAAGCTCGGGCTAAAATCCGGAAGCACATCAGCATGACATATTCATTCAATGCCCTCTTTGATCTGAAATATACGATGCAATATCATACTGATGATATTTCAGAAAAAAAAAATTCATTTAACCTGTTACCATGGCTACATTTTCCAAAATATCATAATTCAAAAATGTGGTATTGACTCACAACAGGAGAGTATTACCATGCATAAATACATTTTCTAGAGCCTACAGGCAAATAGTCATCAGTGATAGGGCTGATTATCAGCAGTACAAACATAACAACCAAGCAGGTGGCACCAATATCCAAGTCAATACTTTAGAACATACTGATACTAAAATATACTTTTATTATATCATTTTATTATACAATAAGGAACATTGACTGGATTACTGTAGCAGAATGATTAAAAAAAATATGCACTTGTGAGTGAGTGAGTGAGTGAGTGAGTGAGTGAGTGAGTGAGTGAGTGAGTGAGTGAGTGAGTGAGTGAGTGAGTGAGTGAGTGAGTGAGTGAGTGAGTGAGACCATAGGAATGAGCCAAAGCAACAGCCACACAGACTACCTCCCAAACCTCATTTCTTAGACAAACTTGGAAAATATTATGATCCCTCTAAAGCATGTCCATGTGCATTCAATGAAAAACTCAAATGTATAAAAACAGCATGCGTAAATACCCAGTGAAACTTTTTCAGCATGCGTACAAGGGAGCTAATTTCCGAGACACAATTATGAGCGAATTTACTCTCCGAGGCAAGCCTATATACTTAGAACAGTTATATACATCAAAAACATTATTTCATTGTTTTTTAATCTTAAAATGTTCACTAATTTTGGGAAATACTCAATAGGGTGATGAATGGATGAGTGAAAAAATATTGGTTACCCAATGAAAAACCCAATTACAATAGAAACCCCAGAGTAAAAACTCAATTGCTCAAAAAGTAATTTGGAGCTCTGAATTCAAGAAAATATATATTCGGAAAAACTATTTTAACATAGCGTTTATTATTTTAAACGTGGGCATAAGGGTGTAAATACTATAACTCACCTTCCTTCGGGGAGATAGCCAATAAATGCTGTACATATGATGAGCCATCCTACGCCGAGCACTGCTATGGTCAATCTGTATATACATATACATTACAGAGCACAATGAAGCCTGCCAATTCAAACATTCTACAATATTTAAACAGTGTAAAGTGTAAACCAGTAAATTAATCTTAAAATGATAGGACAAAATGAAAGTCTTCTTATGGTCATATCTCATGTATCCCCACGCAACATGTTTTCTAGGTCATAAAACAATACGTAACCATGCGCTTAATGGCGTAATCAAGGTAGACGATTCAAAGCTCACTCATTGCCGCGAATAACTGGAAAATTGCTGATGTGGCATAAAACAATATTCATTCATTCAAATTTCATTCAATGCTCACTGAAGACAAAAAATATTTTGGGTCACAAAAGTTCTTTATCGTACATGTAGATGTGATTATATACAAAATCAACTTAAACATATTCTTGAGACCACTGTTGGAAGTGAAAGAATACACACTGGTCAAGTAACAAAAATGAAGCTTTGCAAAATGAACAGTCCTAATTGAAGAGTTAAATGAGAAATTTACAGATTATAATGAAACATTTTCAAGAGAATAACAAATGGCAAGAAGCAATATTAACTCCATAGATGATCATCTGTCATTATTTTGCCTTGTCAATGTGGAACTAACATAAAAAGTCAACAGTTTGTTTACGGCCAAGACAATTTTTGAGGAGGTAACTCTTGTATGACAATAGTTCCATCAAAGTGTAATGTTCATTGCAATGGGAAAAAAAATCCCTTTTCTCAACTTCAGAAAACTCAATCTTTCACACTGAAGTATATAGTAAATCCTTGATCCTTCCAAGCTGTGGAAGCTATGTTTGGATGATAAATGGAAGGATATGATATCTATCCAAATGTGCAGCATCAATAACACTGGAAATGAATAAGAAATTTCAGTTTCTTACCTGAAAGGAAACAGAACAAAATAGCGAACTAAAAATCCAACACACCACAAAAAGGTCAGTCGAAAGCTGAAACAGAGACCATGTTGCATTATTACACAACAATGACTGAGTTTTCATGACACACCACAGTCTCAAAACTATTGTCATCATGTGACCAACACCAAGATGAAAAAGTAACTGACTGTCAGTATGAACTTGTCCAGTTTAGTCCGTCCAGTCATTTAAAGCTTACGAATTACACTTTTTGTACATATTTATTAAAAAAACTGAATATCTCACCTTATGAAATGGTAGCCAGATATATTTGATCTCGATAACAAGTTCCATGATGACAATTCTTCTGCTGAAAAACGCTTTGTTACATCATCTTCGATAATAGCCTAAAATAAATAATAACAAACAGTATAACGTGATAAAGTGCCACAACCAAAACAATTTCAAAAGTCAGTTAATGAGCTGTAATATGTACCAGTCACATCGGTCAATATTCGACATGACAGAGATATTAGATAATTTATAGATCTAATATATTAGAGAGTATTAGACCCCACACTAAGCAAAGAGGAAATGCTTTTAACAGAGTGAGAGCTAAAACTGTATTCCTGGCAAAGACCTACAAGCTCACTAAGTCTCCTCTAGTGCTGATGGCTAACATCCCCATACATGTTACCATGATTGTCCACCATACATACTATCTGTTGTTAAAGTCCTTGGTTTTACCCCGCTCACCTCCATTCCACATTTAGCTCACTAAGTCTCCTCTAGTGCTGATGGCTAACATCCCCATACATGTTACCATGATTGTCCACCATACATACTATCTGTTGTTAAAGTCCTTGGTTTTACCCCGCTCACCTCCATTCCACATTTTGCGAAGTACATTGTATCTGCAAGATGGAACTCTTTCTTGATTGTATCCACACTAGGGATGTAACTGTCAGGAATAATAAATCCTTGTGTTGCTGATAAAGTAATGTCCCTTTTAATTAAGTTGGTCTGTCCTGAAAAATAGCAACACAAAACAAACTGTCAGCCAAAAATATCAGGTATGTATCAACTATATTACAGAAGAGGTTTGAAGCATACTTCCAACAAAACGTTTCAAATACTCTTATTCAAATCTTTAGATTTCTATCTCTAGTCTTTGAGTGGCATTCACCTGATGAAGTAAATACCGGTAATACTTCGAAATGTTGTGTTCCTCATAAGGAAGAACTCTCTTCCTTACTGTTATATCTGTACTAAACTCACAAGTAAAACATTAAGAAAACATAAAACTGAAAAAAGTCATAAATGATACTTAGGAAGCAAGATATACCAGAACAAGTAGAAGCAACATTATTAATCTGATATTTTATGTCCATGATCTTTAAATTAAAGATAAGTTATATCACAATATTTTACCATTTTCATTGATATTTGAATCATCCACAATGACTTCATCATCCGACTTCTCCTCCTCATCCTCTGCTTGTGTGGACTGGTAGTGAGCTATCTTCACCCGCCCAAACTGAAATAGCAGGTTTTATGTCAGTCCTACAGACGACATTAGGTCCATATCCTACATGCACTACAGTCTGTAGTTAGTAAGTGAGTACGGTTTATGCTGCTTTTAGTTTTAGCAATATTCCAGCAATATCATGGTAAGGGAACACCAGAAAGGGGCTTCACATGCTGTACCCATGGGGGAAATTGGACATGGGTCTTTGGGATGATGAGCGAACGCAATAACCACTAGACTACCCCACATGCATACAGTATCCCAATCTGAACTACTGCAGTCAGATAGCATAATGAATCTATTCTTCACAAGACACGATGTGCCTAGTTTCTATTGAATACTATGAAGAAACCCACTCTAGAATTGTCCTTGTCCTACTAATTCATGATATATATTTTGTGAGATGAACATGAGGAAGCTGGAAGGGTGGGCACAGAGTGTGTGAGATAGGATAAGTATCATCAAATGTGCAATTTAATGTAAACTTTTACAAGTTTTTAAACTTATCCTATCTCAAACTATGCATTTATCCCTTGGTTGGACGGTGGGGTGCAGATACCCTAGCCTGTAAAGACTACAACCGTGAGATGAACATGAGGAAGTTGGTGCTAAAAGTGATACAAACAATAATCTATAACAGTGTCTAGTGTTGTAAAGACAAGAACTTGTGAGTGGGTGAAAGCACCAAAACAGGCGATGTAACCCCTTTACGCTAGTCGGACATAACAACATGAAATCGGGTATAACACGAGTCACATGGTTTCATGTAGGCCATCATTAAAAGAACGACCACATAGCTTTGAATAGAGATCTATTCAGGGTACGACATATAACCGATCCGGAAGGGGTCTGTCTACCACACCAATAACTCAGCCAGACAATAGGGTGAGCCAGCTTAGCATCTCTTTTAACACTTCGTCAAAGCTATCAAACATGCCAACAGGATTGAAGCATGCTAAGACGAGAAGAGGAATGATCGACAACATCCATAAGAGTATCTTTAAACCAATACTGAGAAATCACCTGCACAAGGCAGAGGTGAGCAGGTAAGGGCTCGGGACACCGCCAAAACGCAGACTTTGATGTTAAAGACCGGAATCTCTACAAATAAAGGATGTTAAAATGTTAGTTCTGTATGTACAGGATACAGAGTACTTGGCTGCAGGAGTGGGTACATAGTATCATCTATCTGCGTGCAGCTGTCAACTGTTGCGCCAGGACCAAGGGACCAAACTGTTGGTGGCCCTGAACGTCAGTGACTTAGATATCATGTAGATATTGGGAAGCAAAAGACAGTATGAAGACTGACAGGGTGCAATTACTGTGCAAGGCAATCATACAGGCGATGGCTCTAGTCTCATGTGGATTGGATGTCACAGGAGGAGGCAGTCCAGCAAAGGCATAGGCCTCCCAAAAAGTCGAGTGAAGTCAAGAGGAGACGGGAGACCTCCGGGATGGTCGTCATTGAAGTGGGATGAAAAGTCTCTTGCAGAGACGCCAAAGTGGGTGTGCAGCCTCGAGGTCTTTCAGTCTTGTACTAGTAGTAAGCTTAGCTAACAAAAGATAACACTAAGAATAAGATCTCCTGCAAATGATGTCAAGTGACTGGTTCGGGCACAATCTGCTGTCTAGATATATTTATCTTCAGGCTAGAAATAGAACCCTTACTAAATGTCACACTCAATTTAATTGTTTTAAATTTTAATCAAATCACATCGTAATTGCTACTTGTATACGGAATCTGCAAGATCTGCAGTTTCTAAGTCAACCAATAAACATATCAACTCATATCATACATCACCATACATAAGTACACAGCAAGACTACTTGAGTCAGCAGGACTGTTTCCATGTTAGCATGATTTGTCAGTGTCTGATGTTAATTGAGGTTCTGGGGTCCCATAGGTCTAAAGCTATTGTATTCTTATCTTGGGACTAACTGAATCTCACTTTTCAACATTTAATAGGGTAATGACAAGTATCCCATGACTATTCTTTTAAATTTCAAACAAAACCAGTGTCCAAAGCTAAGCATGAAAGTGTAGGGATCCTTGATGCTGGGTTTGAGGGGGGTCCTCAGATTCAAATACGAGTGTCCAATATTAAGGGGGTGCTGGGAGGTCTACCTCACTTACCCGGCACCCTGCACAGATTAAAGTAGATTATAATGGAATACTTTTAACATGTTTTAATCTGATTAGCTATTGAGCTGGCTGAAGCAAAAATGCAGGGTAAAACGAGTCACAATTTCTTAACAGTGAATTAAGTCTAGAAGGGTTAACACTATCCACTGGAGATGTTGTAAACCTTGATGCTGAGCAACCGTCAACACCAAAGATGATATTGTGACTACTCACAAAGATATCCACAATCATGAAACAGACAACCGTCAAATTAAGATTGACACACTCCTTGCCGCTTTGATGACAAGTGTCCGAGAATCACAAGATCCTGCTCCAAAGATATATTGTGATGAATTGTCAGGTAATTATTGATTTTATGTTCTTCATATTGAATACAAAAGAAAGGTTTCTTTCCCTAACTTTTTTATTTTTTATATTGGCTGAATACTTATATTTTCCCATTCTTTTTTTAGCATTACGATCTGACAACATCGATGACATAGTTGCAATGGTTCCTACATACTACAGTGTGCAGTCTTCTCTCTACCGATGCAGAGCAAAAGACATCCGGCCTCTGCCACGTTCCCCAGCCGACATCGACCTTCCTGAGATCTACACCAAAACCAAATCTGGTGACGACTTCCTCCTGACTGCTGATCGGAGAAATGGACAAGATCTTCGCCACTGATGACAACCTTCGTCGCCTTGCCACCTCTGATGTATACTATCCACAGTTTCATCACAACAAGATGTGCCCCTTGGTCTATGCTTTCTTTCCTGACAAATCACAGACAACATACCAGCATTTCTTCAGGTGTGTGAAACAACGTGCTTCTGACATCGGTGCTGATCTCAATCCATTATGTGTGTTTACTGACTTCGAAGACACAGCCCAGAATGCCCTAAGAATAACTTTTCCAAATGTTACTTTGAAAGGTTGTTTTTTCCACTTTGGTGGAATTTGGAAGAATGCCCAACACCACGAACTGTCCATATCATATCGTGACAACCTAGAAATAAACCAGCTTGTTTGATGTGCCATAGCTCTGGGCTTGGTACCAGTAAATCTCATCAGCTACGTGTGGTTCCGGATCCTTGAAGAAGCCCCTGAAGACACAAATGCAGGGAGGTTCTCTGACTATATCACCAGCTATTGGGTAGAAGGGTCACACGGTCAGTTAATGTGGAACCATTGCACAACAACTGGCCCAAGAACCACAAACCACGTAGAAGGTTGGCATAGAAAGCTTGGATCTTTGATCAACACATCACATCCCAACTTGTTCAGAATTATAGACTTCCTGAAGAATGAACAAGACAAAACCGAGACAACGATTCTGCAGCTAAGCTTGGGCAGAAAGGTGAGACCACGAAAAAAAGAAATACTGCAACCTTGATGATGATCTTGGACTCTACAAATGTCAGTTGCTTGATGGCAGCAAGTCCATCATGGAATATGTGGATACGGTCTACCTTCTGATTGGGTTTTAACATTGTAACATTGTCATAAAGTGAAATAAAATGTGAAAAATATTTTGAGTTTTGTTTTCAATTTTAGTGAATTACAAGTAGAGCTTCAGAACTTCCGTTTGGTAGCAGACGACACAAATATGTTGGGGTAGCAGACGACACAAGTCTGCAGGGTAGGGGACCAGACTATTCCTTTTGTTTAAAGGATTATAAACTTAATTGCCAATAATTGGTCAGGTTGCTTGATGGCAGCAACCTAACAATAGGTGCCAGGTAAGTGAGGTACCTTCGTGCTGGGGTCCTTAGGAAGTGTGGTTTTGGGACTAAAGTATATTAATCTGTGAACCCTCAAAACCTTAACTTTTAACATTGGGGTTATGAAAAGGACCTCTCAATTTTATTTAAGTTTTGATCACCGAATACAATAGGAACACACCTCAATGACACCAGGAGCCCCTTAATTTTGCACACTGAATTGTAATGTTATCTTTCTTCAATATGATGTGTGTATATATATGTTGTTGAACACCACACTCAGCATTATTCTAGATATATGGCGGTGACCTGTAATTAATAAAGTCTGGGCCAGTCATTGATATTATGAGCAATGATCCACGCCTTCAAGGTACAGCGACACACAATTAACCAAGTCACCCAAGACTGACCATTTGATCCATTTGGTCGCCTCTTTTAACATTAACCAGCATAGGTTGCTGGGGACCTATTCCAACCTGAATTCCCGATGCAGCCCAATAAGTATATCTCCTCTATTTGTTCTACCTGCATTGATTATACAGTTCGTTTTTAAAGCCATAAAGCTGATGTTTCATAGTCAAAACATTGACAAAATTGTAAAACCATACTTGTCACATGCATTATAAGTAATCTCTGAAGTTTTAGTTATTGAGGGTCAGTTGTGAAGTCAAAAAGTTGAGAACCCTACTTACGCTATGTCTCCATTTCAAACATGGCATTACATTTAAACTATAAATGGGTACCAGTACTGCATCCCTAACAGCCCCTCCTTAAATCTCACCATGCTACCAGAAAACTATATTTTACCTCATGTATGACAATAATTCATGGTCTAATTATCTTCAGTTGAAGTAGTTTGTGCTTTACACCACACTTTATTAGAAGTACTATTACGATTAACAGGTTTACAAAGTTTACAATCTGACAAAAACAACTTTGAGAGATTACAGCTTGGTCAATGAACATATTCAGTACTTCACAGGTTTGTTTACACAATGTTACTCTGTCACCTGTGAATACACATAGTATGGCCGTTCTGCAAGGAGGTTGTTAGTTTTAACAAATAAATCAAAGGTCTGGTTCCAGCGAGAGAAGTCAGTGAGAGTTCCCAAATGTGTATCTCACTTGACATGTGTGCTCAATACATTGCTCTAAAGGCAGGTATTGGTACGGTTCACACAAAGTTCATCTTTTGGCTTTCTGTGTATTAAAAAGCAACCTCATTTAATTAACTTAGTGGGGCTGATTGGTTCATTGTCGGAACATCTTATACTATTTACCTGAAAACAGTATCGCAAACAGTACTACAGTCAAGTCTCGTTAATCGGACAATCGACTTTATCCGACACAAATGATGGGCACCGATTAAACCAGTGCTATTTAGACCTGTTAATCCGACAGTCTCACACTCCGACTCAGACACACCTAATTTACAACGAATTGCTGGAAATTACTCATCAGTCTCGTTAATCCGACACAGTGATCAGCGTACTCCATGGTCATCTGTCCGTAAGTACACAGCCCCATGTTTTGATGCAAGACGAGTAGGCGAGTAGCTGCATATTTAAACGGCTGCAGAGATAAACTTGCTTAACAATAGACAATTACTGCTTTCAATAAACAAAACAGGATTAATCACACACCTAGATTACCTCAATCTCTCTAAAATCGGATACAAGTTCTCGCTACCGATGAGGACATCCCATTACAGGTCAGGTCATAATGTTAGTTTTGTGTTAAACTTTAGAGGTTGCATGATTAGAAAACATAATCCGCTAACAATGTAACACAACAACATGAATATTTCATTTTTATTTTTTTTATTAAAACATGTTTGAAATGTTATCTATCGTGTATTTTCCAATTTTCGATCACAAACGTTGATATTACCAAACTTCGTTTATCCTACATACTCATTAATCCGACATAATCATATGCAACCAAAAATGTCGGATTAACAGGACTTGAGTGTAGAAGGGTGCTGACAATGACCCCTGGGCATATAAATTCACAGGCGATGGAGGAACACAGTGCATAAAAACCTGTGAAATATTGACAATGGTCAACAAATAACAGCTCATAACTCTGAAAATGAACATCATTGCCACTGAGGTATACAAACAAGCGGAGTGAAAACGTAATGAACTAGACACCCCTGAAGCTCTTCCTTGCAATAACCTTACAATAAAATCCTTGCAAAGTATGATTCATTTGACATAAGAATCTCTTCAAGGATGTCAACATTTTTACATATATTTTGGGGGGTGGCCTGGGGGAACATGTACCTGTATCAAAACAGACAGAGTGTAAGATTCTTGTCCTACATTGTTCTTTTGAAATGCTCCCTAAATAATATAAATAAATGATAATCAGCTCATTGCTGTGGCGAATGGAAGAGTGCAATTAATGTTAATACATGAGACAAATGAAGCACAAGTCTAATGAAAACGAAACAAGTATTATTATATGTAATCTTTAAAACTAATGACCCAGTCAGCTGCGTTTCTTACACAACCACGTCTTTATCAAAATGACAGCGTAACAAAATATACGAGTTACATTTTTTCACCTGTACTGATCTGATATCTTAACTTGACAAACAATTTCTCTCAAGAAGACAGTAAGTTCAGTAACCCTGTCTAGACAGAGTGGTGGTATCACGGTAAAGCCACTTGTCCCACACATGCCGGTCATGCCCTAAAACTGTCACCACTGCCCCTGTCACACGAGCACGTGTCGTCTGCTGTAATATAAACAGTGTAAACGCTCAGTTACCTCAAAAACACGGAGTAAGAACTGCACATATCGCTTCCTTATTCCAAGAGATTTGCCTAGTGATGCTAGGATGATGACCAAGAGCAGGACACTGACGACCGGAAAGAAAAACAGAGAGATCAATGTGATTAGTAGTTGTTCCTCCATCCTTCCATGTCTCAAAATGGTGACTGAAGGGCAAGGACATCGAAAGGCCAATCTGTGACCTTTTGCATTTATTAATACCCGATAGGGCCATTATATTATGTTTTATTTAAGCTTTAAGGAGTTACGCTCTCCTTTTATGTCATTATCGATAAATGAAATTATTTGACAAGAAAAACATACGACTGGCACAACGAAGTGCACGTGTACGCAGCCGCTATACTAGACAGAGCCCAGTCAAAAGTAAAAATTTGGGAATGGAGAAAGAAATCCCAATGAAATATGATTTACGTCTGAACATAAGAGTTTACTTTTCGCATACGTATCTTATATTGTGCCAGAAAAATTGACAAGCGACTACACCTTCAATTCGTATTTAATCGCTGCAACTAAATACAGATGTTAATCCTTACTTTGTTGAGAGAGATTGGGGACGAACAGTATCATTATCGTTGGTAAAACGGGATGAAATACAAGAACAATTGTGCCAGTGTTTCTCCACAAATGCAGTTGATAACATTTGTTCAATGATTTGATGATTTGATGGGTTTTTTCTCTTTGGGTATCTGTTAAAGCATGCCAATGTTTTCACAATTTTTAAGATTTAGTGTTAATACAGTATTCATTTCACTTTCAATATGCGAGTTGTCAACTTCGCCAAGTACTTCTACTACATTTAGTAAAAAGTATGTGTTATCTTTAAAAAATATTGAAACGTACATTTTGCTGAATTCGGCCTGATAAAGATGATGACAACTGTTTGTTTGATCAATTCCTCAAAAGTGAAGGATGATCTGCACCTTATATTAAATGGGCATTCAACACCAGAAATTCCCCAAGTATCACATTTCACCTCCTCGGTTTTCAGCTCTGATTCTCTTTTGCTATCAACTTGTTGCTTTGCAATAATAAACATGAGTTAGTTCAAATGATAATACGTACGTTGGCCGCTTTGAACATTATCACGGATCGAGTGTCAGCTTTATGTGGGGAGGAACGCCTGCAGTGAAGCAGGTCCTAGACATTTAACACTTTGGTGAAATCAACGAGCACGAGATCAATGGAGCCTACAAACCTTGAAACGCGGCCAGGGGAAATCTGGGATTTGAACCCACGATCACAGGATCTGCTCCGCGCCTTCGACAACAGGTGCCATTGATCAGTGCCATAGTCACACATGGATAGCTACTCCTTCGCGCAGTTACCTTATTGGGGAAACATTAGATTAGTTTACGTTTCGCTTGCGGCCCTTTAAAAAAATTCTTAGGGTCGGTTATCAACACAAAAATGCAAATAATAATATTTCGATATACTTTTATGATCTCGCACATTTTCGCCTTCGCTGTATTGAAAAAAAAAAGGAGGCCTGGAATGGTACCATTTTTTCCTTCAGCAGATCTAAACGGGATTGCTCGGTTTGATATAAATAACACGGTGGTAGTTTCTTAACCACATGAAGCCATGCATACCATCATAAAAATCAGTCTTATGAAGCAGATGTAACAGAAGAAAGCCATATATGATATATCATTGCGGGTTTCGATTCAAGACTTACCATATCCCCGGCTGGCTGTACAAGGTGTGGTCTATGCCGTCTAAGCTCGATAATACACCAACAGACACATCGAACACTGTAGACACCCGATCCATTTAAATAGCTGTTATGATCTCCTCAGCCTCTGACACCACAGTGCGATATCACGCTGAATGCGACTGCTACACAGCGGATTCCAGATCAAGTGTCCGCGACAACTTTTCGTATCAACCGTCCTTGCTTCTCTCAACATGGCGACCTTAGGAGCTCCGAAAAGTATCTCTCCATTAATTCGAGTTAGTGTTGTTATTGCATTATATTTTTACACAGTTCATTGATAAACACTTAGTATGTCTGAATTTGACGTTGAATTTGTATTTGGTTTTACTCGGTCATGATAACCTTAGTCAATGATACGGCTCAAGAATCCTTGCGAGGTTTTTGTGTATATTCAGCGATACATGCATGTCAGAATGAAGTTCTACACCATGTAGCAGATCTCGAGGTTTATCAACCTAAGACCTGCAAGTGTGTATCTTTTTAGTCACTAACGCCTGTCATCTGTGTAACTGACTCGCTGACGTTATGTCTTTGCTTTGTTATTTTGGTTAATTGAAATGCAGAAACACATAACTGGTAAATTACGCAACAAAAGGCATGCCCAATGTAGTTCTTGCCCTTGGAAAACAGCTTTCCGGTGCCTAAGATTGTAAATGTGGCATTTAGCCTATAATTAGGAGATGACTATACTGTGTTCTCAATGCTAGGTCACCTGTATATTTTACTGCGCAAAATTTAATTTGGAACAGACCGCTGGAATATAGCTGGAATATTGCTAAGTGTGGCGGTAAACAACAACTACACACACCAAACTAGGATAGTCCACTGGTAGGATTTTGTGTTCACTGCGCCATACAAACTGTCATGTTCCAAGTCCTTAACATATTTGAAGTCAGTCTACAGCCACTATGAAATGATGAATCTAAGAATCAAACTAAACATTACAATTTCAAGATACAGCATTAGACTATATGTTAAACTATATGAGAATTAATAACCGTTTTAATAACAGTTTGCATATTGGTTATGAACAAAAATATTAGCAATGATATCCCTGCATTGTAACCTTTCTGCGTCATATCATAACACTAGCAGTAGCATTAGTGGAATGTTCTTGCACCTATGAAAGAGGGAAATACGTAAATCTGCACACTTATGTGAAAATCGTGAATATTAGCATGCTATCATACAGATACTGTATATCATACTGTATTCCAGTGTAAAACTTTGCATCAAGCATTCCATTGTTTCAAGTCAATAAGATATTTATGAAATGATATTATTTGCCCTTTACATTTTCAGTTTGGCAGATATGCTGCTTTGATAACAGGTGTCATATATGGCAGCTCAAGACTCAGTAAGTACTTAAGAGATTATTCGTCATTTGATTCAGTATATCAGTCGGTGCAAAATACATTTGAGCCTACTAGCCCGAACATCGCTATAAGTATCATTTTCAGTAGATTTCACACGTTACGACATGGGATATCATTAACAGAGCTAACTACAGGATGTGATTTCAGTCTTTTTCTCCACTGCACTTAGTGCAGGCTGTAGTTAACAATTGACTGCACACCAGAAGAACTGCTTGCACCACATACTGTTCTGGTTGTTGGTTGGTCAGCAATATTCCAGCTATAAGACGGTGATCTGTAAATAATCGAGTCTGGACCAGACAATTCAGTAATTAATATCATGAGCACCGATCTACGCACTTGGGGTGTCCTGATCCTGTTCGTCACCTTTTACGGCAAGCATGGGTTGCTGAAGGCCTATTCTACCCCGGATCTTCACAGGCCTACTGTTCTGGAAACACATTCATCTTCTTACTTTGCACAACATGCAGTACATTAAAACTCTTTCTTCATAGTAAGTTAGCCATTCATGCCTCTCACTCCACATGCTCCATGCAGATGGAAAATTGCACATCTTAACGTTTTTCTTCGTGTGCTTAAAATCCCCAAATGTCTGTAACAGTGTCAGACTACATGAAACATATGCTTTGTAATGAAGTAATTAAAAAGGAAATATTCATACTGTCATGTTCTATTGTTAGCGTTGTTACGTTTTCTAATCGTGCAACTTCAAAACACTTAACATAGGGCTTTCCGACTGATTCAAAATACTTTTGAAAACTAGTCTTGAATGGAAGACCCCAGTTTATAATTAGTGCTTCAAAGCTCAAGAAAGCTGCTTTCTCTTGGCTCATGTTGACTTCCAGTTAAGTAATTTCATTGGTCATTCAAATTTCGCAAACGATCGTTCTGACATGACCCATAATGGAATGTTTTCAGCGGTAATAGTAAGAACTTAGATCCTATTTTAATGAGACTGAGATAATCTAGACATGATTTATCATGTTTTGTTTATTTTAAAGCATTAATTGTTTATTTTTAAGTAAGCTTCTAGCAGCCACTAGCCGACGCGTCTCACATCAAAACACGGGGCTGTGAACTTACGGTCTGCTTACCACAGAGTACGCTGATCACTGTCGGATTAACAAGACTGTTAAGGAGTAATTTCAGCATATCGTTTCAAATTAGTTGTGTTGGGGTCGGAGAGGGAGACTGTTGGATTAATTGGTCTAAATAGCACTGATTTAATGGATCCACATCGTTAGTGTCGGATGAAGGCGATTGTCAGATTAATGAGACTTGACTGCATATATGTGATTGTACGAATAACTGTTTTGTGTGTGATCGAGTATATATATGATACATGAGTATTTTGTGTTCAGATTGGCTGACTGTCAAGGAAATGGTGATCCAGTATATAATCTTATTGTCAAAAGAAACGTGAACCATTGAAATATAGAGAGAAGTATGTATGTAAAGAAGAGATGTTTCCAATGTGTACCACTTAATGACTTCTTAATGACTTAACTTACAATCAGCCAAAGTGTCACCACAGAGTGTCTATATTCTTATTACGATATGCTGCATGTGAAGTCCTGCACGAGACAAATGGTGCATCTCAAGTCACATGTGGCGTTACATGTGATGCGTTCATGAGTGTCGGTTCACTCAACAAAACAGTATGTTCGTTTGTGCATCAAATTATCTCATATCTCTTGATTGTGAGTAATTCTTCATCTATTAACCAACATGTATGGTATTCACGTTTCTCTTGTCAGTGAGTATATATGTGTATATATGAGTAAGTGTTTTGTGTTCAGATTGTCTGACTGCCAAGGTGGTTGTGATACAGTATATATGTGATACATGTATATGATTATGTTTTGTGTTCAGATCGTCTGACTGCCAAGGTGGTTGTGATACAGTATATATGTGATACATGTATATGGTTATGTTTTGTGTTCAGATCGTCTGACTGCCAAGTTGGTAGTGATACAGTATATATGTGATACATGTATATGATTATGTTTTGTGTTCAGGTCGGCTGACTGCCTAGGACGTAGTGATCCAGTATATATATGACATATGATTGTGTTATGTGTTAAGATCGTCTGACTACCAAGGTGGTTGTGATACAGTATATATGTGATACATGTATATGATTATGTTTTGTGTTCAGATCGTCTGACTGCCAAGGTTGTTGTGATACAGTATATATGTGATACATGTATATGATTATGTTTTGTGTTCAGGTCGGCTGACTGCCAAGGACGTAGTGATCCAGTATATATATGACATATGATTGTGTTGTGTGTTCAGATCGGCTGAGTGCCAAGGAGGTGGTGATCCAGGAACAAGAGGACAAGCTCAGGGTTATCCGGGAAGCCAAACTCAAGGAGGAGAAAATCCAGGCTGAAAAAGGTTTGTAACATGTCCTCATAATGCACTGATGCAGGACAATGCTTTATAAGCAAATTCTTTTTATTTCAAATCATTTATTTTTTTATTAACTTGAATTTGACCATTGACCTTAACTCTGATGAGTCTATAAAACTATATACCTACTGATACTCTGATGAGGCAAGTAAACTATATTCCACCTATATTTTGTAAAACATTGTGTATTTTCATGTATGTAGTTAACTGAATACATGCTGAATATTTTATAAAACATTTGGTCTTTCTGTATGGGACAAGGGATGGTACTGATTCTGTAACTGTTGTGTTTCAGTGGAGATGGCCATGTTAGCCAAGGAGGCAGGAATAGCACAAAGCTAGTGACATTAAATGATTATCCTGTTGCAACTGTTAGATGTGTGAACTTAACATGATTTCATCGTTTTTGAAGTATGAATGTACATAGGAACTGAGAATAAACATTCTGAAAGGCAATGTGTTTTTAGCATCACGACTTATAATTCCATTTATGTAATGCACCAGATTCAACAAGTTGATTCTCATTGCACCACGTCACACGATAGCCAGGTATACTGCTTTATGATTCAGGACTAACCATTTGATATTCAGGGGGTGGGGGGACAAGGGAGTTTGGCGGTTTGTTTGAACAAATTAATTTGGCCTCAAGTGTACGTTGTGATATAACGGGAAATACTTTTGAATACCATTAAATACGATTCACTCGCTCACTCATTTAAGTACATTTGTGTTCTTGAAGGAATTATTTGAAATATAACATGACAAAATTTTGATCTTGATAATTTGTGGTTGCCACAAAGCAAGAAAATTGTTGGACCTGAGGTAGAATGTATAGTAATTTACATATATATTTGATATGTAATTTCAGGGTTAGAAACTAACTGTTTTAGTCCACTAGTCCTTATGATGATAACATATAGCGAAACCCTTAATAATGGCCAATTTCTACTAGTCCTTGGGATACCTTAACTATTGGGCAGTTTGGCAAGGACTATAGGACTAGTGCCAATTTCTATTGCTGTGTAATATTTTCAAATGTCTCCTAAGGATGTACATACATAGATGAAATGATAAAGGTCAATATTGTACAGGTCACAATGTGTACATAATCATTCAGATTTTGGAATATTCGACTATCTGTAATTAATATACTATATACGCATCCATAAAGAAGTATAGGTTTAATTTTTAAATCAAATATTTTGAAAATTGGGAGTTTTCAGTATGTCCAATCCAATTTGGAAACATTCAATAGTGACTTCCCTATTAAAGGCCAAATGTGACACTGCTCTTGTTGAATTTCAAGCTGGAGTCATCAATAGTCGAAGTTACTTCTATAACATCAATAAAATCAATTCATGTAAATCGGGCGAAAATTGCATGCCTCTCTTCACATGTATCAAAACTCATTAAAAAGTGAAATTAAATTGGGCTTAATAGACAACAGTATTTTAGTCTAAGAGGGCTATTGAAATATGTGGTAAGACCACTGTTCCATGTATACATACTGAAATAGAAGAAGGCATAGATTGAATCATATTCAACATTTTGACAGGTTGACAGGTAGTCCACATCTGGAGAACATACATGTTTTTCTTTCTGCAGATTAAAATGCATTTTTAAAGTCCACAAGGGCAGCATGGAGTATACCTCTTCTACATTTACTTGAATATTTAAGTACATGAGCAGTTAGTGTGAACAAGTTATCCATTGCTGCAATTCGCGGCCTAAAATCTTCACATATTTTGTTATTATTTTTAGTCAATGGTTTTTATCGACAGTTAAGTGCTGTTGCAAATTTATGATATACAAGGTTTATGAGAGCAACACAATTGGACCTGATAGTGCAAGCCCAAGAGGTGAGCCTTCAGTGGAGGTTCGAAGGATGCCAACAGTGTCCTTTCAGGTACTGTGGCAGTTAGTTCCATGGTGAAGTCACCTGCGTAATTGTGTTGTGTTTAACTCAGCAATGTTTCAGCTATGTGACACTTCAGTCTATAAATAATTGAGTCTGCATCAGACAATCCCAGCAACAATACATGACACTTTTTTTATTCCTGTATCCCTGTTACATATATATCTCTGTTGCCAGGGAACTACAGTGCTTAACTTGAGAAAACAAAAAAACACATGTAGAACTTACAATCAAGATAGTTTTTTGGAGGGTTTTTGACAATAACAACACACAGATAGCATTCACTCACTATTCACACACATAAGATTAGGGCTAATTCATAACATTATAATGTAAGATTTTATAACAGCTTCTCTAAGTGGTAATTCGTATGTGTTCTTTGAATAAACCATGATACATTGTCCATTTGGTATAAAACTAATTAAGACTATTTTCACTCAAAGAATAGTCTTTACAATATAGTATCTTATTTTTAAATCGTTCTTAAAATGTACAAAACATGGTAGGACATTTTTTATCTTATGTTTATACAAGAAATGGTGGTGCGGTGAAATGGAGGTTAACAAGATTGTTGCACTTATATATCAACGTGTATGCTGCATACCTTTCAGGTGTGTGTGCCTGCTTGTACTAGTCTAGACTAATGCAATTTTGGAGTGCTAGCCGACTGAGATACCATGCCTCAGTTTAACATGAATACCCTACTCATACTCAGTATACAGACTCTGAATCGACCAGTCCTTGTTTTAGTCCAGTCCTTGTACCATCTTTTTACGTCTTTTGGCATGACACAGCCGGGGATCGAACCTTCGGGACACATTGACATGCCATTGACCAAGACACGAAGCCTGACCACCCGATCCATTTGGTCGCCACTTACGACCTGCATGGGTTGCTCGGGACCATTCTAATCCAGAATCCCCAATGATTAATCGACATAATATTATGATAGAATTCATTAGAACAGTGTGATCTGGTTTGTGTTTTGAAAATAGATTTGTGTCGTCTCGTAGCACGCTCCATTGTCAAAATCTTGAAGTCAGTTATGGTTTCGATGGGTAGGCAAAAATCTAAAATCGGGTGTTCCTCGCTTCCTGTTGATGTTCCGGGGAAGTGTTTCCAGTATTTTCATGCCTAGGTGACTTGGCCATCACATGTAGTCGTGCACTCACTCACTCACTCGTGATGGACGGGGCCAATGCAGGTGTGTCAAGTTAAATGTGTGATACAAACTACACTCAATTTGATATGCTAATTCCTTGACCTGCGCTCTTCAATATTCGTGTACGTTTTAAAGCAATGACATTTGGAAATGTCAGGTTCCCCCGAGACCGGTAATTTACACCTTAATTGTCGCCGGTGTTCTCATCCCTCACCGGATACTGGTATCACCAGCTAGAGTTGACCGTGCCTCTGCTTGCCCCTCCCTCCATTGCTTGTGGAGGACTGGCCGGTGAAAGTATGGCGACTCTGCTGTGTGCGGTGCTGTTCTTGGTCATGGTGAACTATGGATATGGTACGTGCTGTTTGTTGTTTAAAAAGAACATTTCACGATTAACTAAGATTTACGCTTTGTTAACTAAGATTAACTAAGCGTTGAAAGGATTCTTGCAATCTGCCACTACAAGATGACTCCCTCCCTTGAAAATAGACCCCCGGTACCATTTGCCTATCGTTATAGGTGAGTGAGTATGGGTTTACGCAGCTTTTAGCAATATTCATGCAATATCACGGCGGGGTACACCAGAAATGAGCTTCACACATTGTATTGCCCTGGTCTTCTGCGTGATGAGCGAACACTTTAACCACTAGGATACCCCATCGCCCCTTATCGTTGTAGGACGTTAACATGAACATGTGTAACTGGTATGGAAGACGATTTCGAGCGGACTGATACAGTGCACGACCGTACCGAGGTAGCACATCCGCCGGCCTGTAACAAGACTGATTGACATCCCTACATAGCTGTTGATAAAATTATAAGTTGGTGAGTGAGTTTGGTTCAGCGGCGCCTTTAAAATAACAGTGTTCCAGTTATATCACGGCGTATCAGCTTATTGTGGGAGTAAAACCATGCGATGCAGGTGACAGATATCTATTTACCACTTTGGTGAAACCCACTGGCACGGTATGGTGCTGACAAACCTAGAAACATGGGGGCGAACCCCAAATCATAGGTTTCTGGCGTGCCCAAATGGACATATTCTGCACAGTGTCACTACATGGTGTACACCTACACTGACTATATCTTGTGTATATTGATTTAATGTTATGTAGTAACTTGACGTAAAAAAGAAGCTCTATGTATGTACATGTGTGTGTCAACTCATCTTCAAGAGGTAAGCGTGTCCACTAGCCTATTTCAGTGCTCCGTTTCTACTTTGACAAATAGGCAAGTGGACGCTCTTTCCTTGGGAAGATGGAGTTAACTTCGCGTCATGAAGAAGTTCAATGTAAAGAAATTATTATACGAGCCTGTGTGTCATACTGAATTTACGAAACGAGTGTCAGAATACTTGTATTTCCTGAGCGAAAACGGGGGTAAAACATGATTCTTACACGAGTTTCATAAGGTCAGTATGGCACACATGCTAGAGTGTTAATTTCTTTATTAGCCATTGTTTCGTAATCCTTTGTATTACTTGCACGTGAAGAAATCACCCGTTTAATAAACATACAGCTGTATTACACATTGTGTAATACCAAAACACGTGCTTTTGTACTCTCGGAGCACCTTTCACGAACAAATATTGAAAGCTCTCAACATCCCTTTGCTTATTCAACGACATCGCGTGCTTTCGCTCGTCAGATACCACAACTATTCACTCGTTTCATAAAATTGGTATTACACGGGAGCTCGTTTAGTATTCTATATTGAGCTCCCCTGATCCACACTCCGTCGCAGTGGTGACTCAGCATAACACCACTGCCACAGGCTAATTTGCATATCACGTGACCGGACTTTTCTCTTGTTTGTAAACAAACGCGCTTTTTCAGAAATCAGTATAGAACGGACTAATGCAAGTATTTGGGGGCGCTTTACATACTGTTTTGCATAAATATATAGATATGCTACTACAACTGCGACAGTGAGTTGCATGACAATATATATTTATGCATCAAAGTCGCTAGCTCTCCGTTGGGCTTCGATGACAGCACGTGGAGCCGTACAACCAATGTAAACATAGGATAACTACGCAAAAACAAGTAGATTTTTACGTATTTGCATACTTTCTCAATAAAAATTAGCCATTCTTTGACATTTGTTTATGAAAATGTGTAGACTTGTCAAACATGAAACGGATGAAAAGCATATGCAATATGTTGAATGGACTGTGAAAGATGTGACGAATCGTCACATGGCGCTGGCCTGTGGCAGAGGTACTATGCTAGCTGGCTGCCGGCCGCATGGAACTCTGGGTAGGAGAGTGCCCCTGATCACGACCGCCGTCTTAGAAAATCACAATTGTCGAATGACGTCAACAATGTTCAGCTATGACGTCGTTTCTAGTGTGACGTCATTCCGGATGACGTCAACAATGTCGTACGGATGATGTAAACAATACATTGATAAGTGTGAAATGATATTTGCACTATAGTCGGTTGGTTGGTTTGTTGTTTAACGCCGCACTCAGCAATATTCCAGCTATATGACGGCGGTCTGTAAACAATCGAGTCTGGACCAAACAATCCAGTGATTGGCGTCATGGGCATCGATCCTCGCAATCGGAATCGATGACAAGTCAGCGAGCCTGACAAGCCGATCCCGTTAGGCGCCTCTTACGACAAGCATAGTCGCCTTGTACAGCCCCCTTTCCACCCCGGATATTCACGGATCGTGCATGTGTAGAGATTATTACCCACGAGGTGAAGATACAGGTGGTAAGATACTAAATCCGTACGTCACACGTGTGTCGTACAAGGTTGACCTTGTTTAATTCGTTTTGATTGGACAACCGTGACCTCTGTCACACCGGGACTACTTTTTTCATTCCTAAAAAATCGCGAGACGTCATTCATTTTGCAACCACAAGGCAGAACTGAGTCAATCTCATGAGTGCGAGATATATTTACAAACACTTTATTAAACCAAACACGACTGTCACACGGATCAAATTCGGTTTGCATTCTATATTAGTTAAGCATAGAGCTTCTACAGACATTATATAATCGAGCTATATCCATTTACAATGTACAACTACCGATCAATAGATCGAGGGTCCCCATGAGCGTGACGCACCCGACCACTTTTGCAACTTTGGATACCTGTCCAGAGAGTTTAAACAGACTTTATTTCACCACGCTTAACCTTTCACTTCAAATCAAATTGAAAGTCGCGAAAGTGGTCGGTTGTGTTACGCTCATAGGGACCCTCAGGGGAAGATCTATCGGTTGTTGTACATTGCACATGGATATAGCTCGATTATATAATGTCTGTAGTTGCTCTTTGCATAACTAGATCTTACTTAAACCATGGCGGGATTCGTTTATGAACTGCGAAATATTTTTATGCATTTTCTATACAGTATGTTACTCTATGCATTCTAGTATTTTGTAAGTACTTATGATTTGGTAGCTTTTCGTTCAACGAAACAAACAGACAGAAACGAAATTACTATTATATTGATCAGGGCTATGTTTCCTCATAATAGGCCCATCAACATGGGCAAGTAATATTTAGTTGATTAATAAATGTGCTCGAGTTGGTCCAAAATGAATGGAATACTTGCTCCGGGGTCTGCATTTCATAACCGAAATTGGCAATGTGCGAGATGCACGTGAGAAAGGCACGGGGAACATATTTCACGTGCTTCACACAGGGCCGACTCACACAGTGTTCTCACAGTTGAGCACAGAGTTCCTGAGTATCTTTCAAACTACCTTGAACAAAACATTGTTTTTTAAGCATTTTAGGCGCTATAAATGTTGGCCATGGTTTAAGTATGTTAGACCACTCGGATCACAGTGTCTAATCGTTGCGCGCCTCGTGGTTTAATTAACCATTTCACACGATTAGACACTGGGTCTTCGTGGTGTAACCTATGCATAGAATGCAAAGCGAATTTGATGCGTGGGATCTTGTTTGGTTTAATAAAGGGTGTGCAAGTGTCTCTCGCTTTCATGAGATTCCTTTAGTTCGGCCTTGTAGTTGTAAAATTGAATGGCGTCTCGTGATTTTTTTGTGAATTCAAAAAGTAGTTCCGGTTGTTGGTACAACCCAGAAATGTAATTAACATATTGCCAAAACGCACTTCTAGATTTCTGTGATCATTTTTGCAAGCCTCGGTATTTGTTATATTTACTCTGTCCGAACGTATTTGGGTGTTAAAGAAGGAGGAAATTCCTGCAGGATTAACGGCTAAATTGTCATCAAAATGAAGGTGACGTAACGCATATATTTCCAGGAACCAATCTGTATGCGAAGCAGTTCGATCAGAATACCCTGATCACATCCATGGTTATGCCAGAAGTAATAACGTTATCTGAATGTTAATCTTTGCATGACACACGCTCTTTGCTATTGGATATAGTTGTCCTCTTAACTATGTAGGCCAACAACCCAAGGACGTCACTAACATGAAACGACCCGGGAACATTCGGTCTTCAGCAACCCATGCTTGTCGTAAGACATGTCAGAGGCGACTATGCTTGTCGTAAGAGGCGACTTATAGCAGGCTCTGGTGGTTGATGCATGTCATCGTATTCAAATTACGTAGATCGATACTCGTGATGTCAAACACTGGATTGTCTGGTCCATAGTCGATTATTTACAGACCGCCGTCATGTGGCTGGAATATTTGCTGAGTGCGGCGTTAAACAACAAACAAACATGAAACAACACATAGTTTTAGTATTCTGCAAATCGTATCATTCAATGATTACTATGTTAACATGACACTATGTCAGCTATATATTATCATAGTAATAAGAGGAAGCTTAACTTCAAAAATTACCGGAAGGATTGCATCGCCAAACGGATGCGCGTCAATTTCCCACGCTGTTGTGGGGCACGACAGACTCAGTGGTCTGAAGGTTACGGTGGCCCATAAGGGACATGGAGTCTGTTTTTCAATATTTTGATTTTTCACTTACTGTTATCGTAAGCTTTTGCAAATTAACACGATTTGTCATACAAATATGTGATAAATCATGTATAAAGAAGATATTGAAAAGTGAAGCGAAAATGTCAAAAAACTAAAATGAAAATGTCTAAAACAAAAACGAAAAGGTCAAAAATTAAAATTAAAAGGTCAAAAACAAAAACGGAAAGGTCAAACACTAAAATGAAAATGTCAAAAACAAAAACAAAAACAAAAAGGTCAAAAACAAAAGCGAAAATGTCAAAAACTGAAATGAAAATGCAGAAAACTATTTACACCGCGGTGATAATAAGAGCGCAGGTCAAGGAATTAGCATATCAAATTGAGTGTAGTTTGTATCACACATTTAACTTGACACACCTGCATTGGCCCCGTCCATCACGAGTGAGTGAGTGAGTGGGAATATTATCACCGC